GAACTGTAAAGTGCCTTGAGATGATGTGTGTTGTGAATTGGTGCTATATAAATAAACTGAACTGAATTGAATATAGTTCAAAGAAATTAGAAACTGCAAATACAATGGGCTCATTTGACAGCATTATGTTAAGTCATCTTAAGAATTAAAAATTCTGATCTTTTATGTTGGGGGATATCAGAAACTAAAGATAGCCAGAAAATATAAAATAGACCTATACAGCATGACTGAGTGTTCTGTAGCTTACACACTAGTGTACAGTGTATATGTTGGGATTTACTCTGGATTGCACATATTTAGTAGCAAAATAAACATTGCCATCAATAATAATGTCCAACATCCATAGCTGAAAATAGACTAGTCATACTTAAAGTTTGCCAGTTTTACTGCAATTAATGAATAACATTAAACATAACATAACATGACATCACAGAACATGAGATACGCCTACATAGACTACCTCTTTACAACTTGAAAGTGCAACAAATAACTTTGATTAACTGAAATAGAAACTTGAATGGGAACTAGCTAGGCCTAAACTGGGAATGGGATGGAACTTAGATGTGTCCCTTATTTTGAGCAGGACTGCTCAAAGTTGAGTGTGTTGAGGAGCTCACTCTTCATAAGCTCTACAGTTCCTGCTGTCCGTCCAATTGTTTGCCATCTGTGAGAACACCCTTTCCACATATCTGCTGGATGCTGGAATGCTGAGGATGTGACTCATGATCGCCAGCAAGTGGGGCAGGATGGCTAATTCAAAGAGAGCCATCCATCTGGGCCACACCTTTGGTCTTCCACGTATCGGCAGCATTTTCTCTCAGCTTCTGCAGGATGGGCTTTGCAGTGGTGCACAACTCATAAAGCTGGAAATGACAAACGCCCCAAGAAGAGAGATTACCGAGTGGAGAATGCTTTAGACAGACAGCGTCATAAGGGGAAGGTGAGTCAAGAAGAGTAGAACTCTAAGCTCTAGCTACGAAAGGGAGAATCAGGACGTGCAGACATGGGTCACACTCACAGCAGTAGAGTTGTTCTGTGCGCAACTGCCTCTGAAATTTCTGTTTTATTAGTTATTTGTGAAAATACGGAACAAATAGCCTCCCTTATCAGTTCAACATGGGACCCGTAATTTAACTTCCAAATACGGGACATTCTGTATTTCAAGGGACGGTTGGCATTCCCTCAGTGCCAGTGTTGGGAAAGTTCTCTTTCTACGTGAACTAGTTCAAAGTTCAGTTCACACATTTTAAAATGAACTAGTTCAGTTCATATTTTTCATATATTGCTCAATTACACCATAGCCTA